GACGTCGGTGTTATAGCTGTACAAAACACCGAGTACCGAACTGCGCTCCACAGGTGACTCTCAGTGTCTCCAACATGTACACATGACAACGGAGGCCATTGTGTTACAAAAAGCAAAAGGACACAGATATTAAAGACATTGCATTGGACCACTTAGGAAGAGGTGGAGAATTTCCGGTCTCCAGCACATACCCATACACCGTTTGCTTGGCCGTGTCAACATTGGCTGCAAGTAGTGTTTGACCAGCTTGGCTAGAGTCCGGGATTGTGAGATACACGGGTGACGCAGGCGGTAGAGGGGCAACAAGCCTCTTTAACAGGACCAAACAGGCTTCGGGAGTATCTCCATACAGAGGACTGACGGCGAATCCATCATTTGCAGGCATTATGGTGCCGTAACCGGCAATTTTTCCGTCTAGCAGCAAAACTTTGGTCTGGGAATGTTCGATTCTAAACCATATTCTGAGAACACGTTCCCTGGGAATGACATGGAAAGTGGTGTCGTAGTCCAATATGGCTTTCCAATCAACCTCCGAATAATCTTTTATTTCATATTTGAACTCTGCGGCTTCAGCCACTGGAATGTTCTTGATAGTGACCACGTACTTGCCCACACCACTGCGCATAGACTTTTTGTAGCCCCATTTGAGATACATTGGTGTTATCGCTTCATTTGCCACCAAAACGATCGCTCTGTCGGCGGCCAATGTGTCTGCTTCCGCCTTTAATGCTCTAGCTGTGAAAAAAATTAATTACTTCATATAACGTTTGACTCGATGTGGTTTGCCTGGGGGTATGAATTGTATATAAGAACATTCATTTATACAGGGTACATGCAAACAGTCAAATTATTTAACATTCTTCAAAAGTAATTCAAACTGTCTTTTGATCTTTCTAATACACATGGTATGTGTTTATTGTCTTTGTCCACGGAGATAACTGAGTCTCCTTTGGTTTAGAGACGGGTTACAGAATTGGCAGTCCGCCAGGAAGCGTAGTGAGTTTACCATTTTCTTGAGCCAGTACAGTTGACATTTTCTCCATTTACTGACCCCTATACTTCCGACCAACCCCAAACTGCACCAAGAGTATGGCACGCCGGACTTCCACTCTACGACTACCATTCCTGTCTCAACGGAGGCTCTTTTATACATTTTAAAGCATTTTTACGTGTGTGTTAGCAGCCAATGGCTTAACTTACCAATCCCCTTGCCTCTGTGTTCTGGTTTCACTATCAGATAGCCAAGGAAAGTGTGGGTTTCATTGAAGCTATACACCATGACACAGCCTAAAACATCAAAACAGTATCGTTATGGTGTGTGTGTGTGTGTGTGTGTGTGTGTGTGAGAGAGAGAGAGAGAGAGAGAGAGAGAGAGAGAGAGAGAGGGGGGCAAAGAGAGGGTTTCTATATTACAACGTATCCTGATTTCTTCAAAATAATTAGAGTAGATCTAATTTTTTTTTTACGTCTATTCAAACTTTTGCAAAACGGCAGAGGAAGCGATCGAGATATTACCCTAGGAAATCCATTTATATCGTACTTTCAATACTTTTAAGTATTAAAATTCCTAACCAATGCACAGCATCACTTAAACTCCACTTAATTCATTCAACAAAATCGCACCCAAACTGCATAGCACCCATCAAAATCCTAACAAAGCGAGAGGCCCACGAGAGTCTCTAGCTTAGTAGGCCTAGAACACCCTGAGCTTCAGAGATAACTTGACACTAACCTCTTCACTATAGCCTATCTTCATCGTGTCAAGTAACGATCGTTACTCTTCATCGTGTCAAGTGGCTCAGGGTGGCCAAGAAGGGTTACTCTCATAAAGCTGAATTATCTAGATCATCACAAGCGAGACACTTGTAAGAGACTAGCCCAGTAGGTCAAAAAGGGTTACTCTCATAAAGCCGAGTCGAGACACCTTTGCTGAATTATCTAGATCATCATAAGCGAGACACTTGAGAGTGATTCCACTTTTGAAAGCGGAGAAGGCTCCCTGTCACAAAGGCGAGACACCAAAAACCAAGGAATTATATAGGACGTCAAAGCTGAAACTATCACTACAAAAAGAGACCAAAGAACAAATCTTGCTTATATATAGGAACCCCTTTATTTTCTATCCTAGCTTTATACCTATGATTTTGCCGTCTTTTTCTGCAACCCACCAGCCATCTTTGGCAATTTCCATATACGCTCTAATCAGCTGTAGATTGTTAGGTCTCCATCCTTCCTCTCTGACAATCCCCCAGATGTCGTCTGCGTCGCGCAAGCTTGCCTTACGAACACGGAACCCATCTCTGTCGACCACAGCCGCCATTTTACCCGTTAAGTACGTTTGTTTCCCTTCCGATGGCCTGCATTTGCTTTAGACTGTAATCGACACTCAGCTACTTTTTTAACAAATTAAACTATTTACATTCGTTTACGTCTGTCCAATATTATGCTTATTAATAAACTTTGATAATTATGAATAATGTTTTGAAACAATCACTTTGTTTTTTAGATTAAACTCGGAACGAATCATGTTCAGCAGGGTTTAGTTTACAGGTCAGAGTGCAGAGTTCAGCATGTGCCGTCACTTACGATAAGGGTTCCGATATAACGCTAAGCATTGCCACATGCTAAGTAGCATTTTATTTAACCCAAAGGTCAAGATCGTGTTTATCGTTATGCAAACCATCTCAGGACAGTTATTCCATTTGACTTACGGTAAAACAAAAGGGGTAAAAGTCATTTTCAGTTTGATGGTATACTATCTGGGTTTGAAAATGTCCTCAAGTAACATTCTGTATGTCCACATATATTGGGCAGCTTCTCACCTTTTATTCACACTTTTTAAACTATAAAAATCCACCAATAAATAAGTCTGATATCGTTGATGTTTCCTTCAAACATGCACAGGCGGTTTAATTGACTGGCCAGTCGTGTTTAGGTTAGACTGCATTCCCATAAATTTAATCCATCTGGATTGACCTAACTCCCTGGGGGTTTACGCTAAACTCTCTCTCTCATTTTTGCTGTCAGTCGAGCGCGCACGGAAGTTAATTAACCCTTACAGCTTTTAGTAGGCGGGACAGACATTTCAGCCGACTTAGCCGACAGCCATCTAGTGAGACTCCCCACGGGGATAGATCGATCTAAAATCTGTGGGAATGGGGTCTTAGATTATTTAGTTAGAAATGGTATGAAACGTCGAACACAAGTACAGAGACGAGTCAGGCAAGGATTCGTGAGTAGAAAGTACGCTTTTTTTCGAGGAAATTCGATTTAAATTACCGGAAAATAAGATCAAACGTTCGATAAGTTTTGAGCAAAGATTCCTGGGTGGTAAAACAAACCAAAGTTTCGAGGATCTGGAATATTCCGTTGAAAAATACGTTTTAAAATCGATATTTTCTCAATATCTGGCTTCTAAAAATTAAATGATTTGCAAGTCAACTAAATGCACGAAAACGCAACGCGAACCACTCATAGTGGCTACTAACCATATTGATTGCAGTAGGTGAGTTGTCACACTGTCACACCTCGTAATATAACACAAACAGCCTGTTTCACTAGTTAGACCAGAAGATGATCAGAATTTTCCATAAAAAAAATTTATATATATATATATGTATATATATTGACAGGCTATCGTCTTGGGACTGAATCATCAGTTTTAAGTTGATAATTTTAGTATTAACTGTAAATTGTGGACACTTACCGCCCTCCGAAGTACTGTCATTATACAGGTAACAGCCTTGGTTGTTAGTTTGGGTTAAATAGCCGTCAGGATTCATAACGTTAAAAAGTTGTGAAGATATGTGTTTGGCGAAGGGTATTTGTAATAACAATTACTTTATTTCCACTTCTGTAACAGATAGGCAATAAATCCATTAGACAAAAATTCCATTAGCGTAAAAGTCACATCTCATCTCTTTCGTACATTACTTTGAGTTTTTATTATCACTATAATTAGTGCACCCCCCTCTCTCTCTCTCTTTCATTTGTGTTAATATTATATTAAGCGAAATGCACGTGTGAGCTTTATAAATTTGTGTAAATACTGTGTCATCAACACTTCTGATACCGTACTTCTTTTTGAAATCTCATGATTCATTTAAAAAAGAAAACATCAAGCTAAGTGCATCATAAGTAGACACAATCAACGAAAAATTAATTATACAACGCCCTAATGCCAAGTTATATTGTAATTTAACTAGCCGTTTAAAACCACAATGCATTATCTACATCACGCATGCATGCTTCGGAACATTACCCTAGTTAAGATGACATGAAGCTCCAGATATGCATACTGGGCACATTACAGAGACAATCACCACACTGTGTGCCTCCTTGCATATGTTGATGACACCATACGTGCGTCGTTGTGCCTCTTTGTATACATGGATGACGACTTGTTTTTCACATTGAATGGGCCACGACCCAACCAGCCTGGGGATTATCTCGATATACCTACCTGAACACGAGTCCAGCGACTGCGACGACACTTATCTCTTTATCTATGCTAAGTTCAGTTGATGCTTGGCCCACAGGTGGACAATACTACCGTGCAATGGTGATGAACGCAGAATAATTCATTGACACCTTTAAGTCAAAAGAAGTATGTTTAAAATTAATAATATGTATCTACGTTGAATCTCAGCCATGGACTCCAGTTAACAAGAGTGTTTTTACTGCCACAGTGGACCGTGTTATAGGGCGATTCAGGTACTAAGTAAGTAGTTTCGTACATGAACGTTTACTTCGGTGGACACGGGGACACTGCGAGAGACTAACGCCCCCCACTGCCCCCTTGTAGCAATATAGAGGAAGTTTGGACACTGCATGGAAAAAAGGGATGAAGGCGGAAGAGGAATTCGAAGCGGCACGTGTTTTAATTGATGTGAGCCGTTAACAATACGCACGTCCTGTACGGTTTTACACTGGGGCAGACACCAGGCGATAAGTTCAGTGATTAAGCGTGAAGACAATTTTCATCATGCCCAAAGGAGGGAATCTCTTTACGTTTCTTTCGAGGCTGCGATGGCAGTTAAAAGCGACCCTTTTGTTTCTTCTTACTGCATTGATAGTGCGACTGGGATGGGTCATTCAACACACTGTGACGTCATCATATCCTGTAGGTAAATCTACGTCAGCCAAATATTTGAGCAAAATGGCGTCATCAAATTACGCCAGCAACTTGGGATATTTTGAGTCCTCTATTAGCCACAACGAATCAGACGTACCTTTGATTTTACAATCGCCTGTCATCAACATGACATCATATGAGGAAGCCGATGAGGTGACAGTCGGGTCCTCAGGGGTGACGTCACACGAGAAAATGAGTAAGATATCCAAGAAGACAGATCCGCCTCAATTCGAAAATATGAAAATTACATCACATCCCGACGATCTTACGACGTTGAGTTCGAAAACTGAATGTAAGAACACGTGGAGCGTAAAACCAAAGGGAAAGCCAGCGTCAAAAATTGTTTTTCTGAAGACACATAAAGCCGCAAGTAGCACCGTCCAGAACATATTTCTACGGTACGCGCTTGAGCGTAACCTAACAATAGCACTAGGTTTTAAAGAGCTAGATTCAGCACAATTAGGTTGGCCTCATTTCTTCAGAAAGGACTTTGCCTATCCCAGCACGAAGGGCACCTACGACATTATGTGCCATCACATGAGATACAGTGAAAATGTTGCCACTGTTATGCCCTCAGAAACTATATACATTACAGTCATAAGAGACCCTGTACAGCTATTCCAATCATACTTCTTTTATTATCAGTTAGATAGGCAGTTCAAAATAGCAGGAGAAACCGACCCATTGGAAACGTTTTCTAAAAATCCCGGATTGTACGAGCACAAATGGGAGAAAGTTTCTCCTGTAAGAAATGTCATGATGTTTGACTTGGGATTAAAGAAAGAATATATGAACGACGAAAATATGATCGAAGGTAAAATTAAAGAAATTGAGCAACGTTTCCACATTGTCCTTATTGCTGAATATTTTGACGAGTCACTGATTCTCATGAGGGACCTGCTTAACTGGAGCAATCACGATATTCTTTACTTTAAACAAAACATAATGAGCAACACAACGAAGAGGACCATATCAGATGCCACAAAACATCGCCTAGAACAATGGAATAAGGCCGATGTTATGCTTTACCAGTATTTCATCGCCACATTCTGGGCCAATGCAAAGAAATTCTGCTTGGAGAAGCTGGCTGCGGAGGTGAATGCGTTCAGATCTCAACTAAAGCAATGGCAGTCAGATTGCGTCTTGGACGTGATTACCGGAAATAAAATGTACGATCCTCTTTACAAAACGTACAACCCAAATGCGCTCAGCTACCGGTTGAGGCCCGGTGGACACGGCAACGAAACTTGTGTAAATTTGGCGAAAACAGAAATAGCATTCACGGAGGAAATGCTTAATCGTATGAAGAAAACAAAATCCTTGAACTTTGATGCAAATTATGCCATCACCATTAAAAAGGGGTCTCCAGAAGAGAAAGAACTTTTAAAGCGATTGGCGGCAATTAAAGGCTGATCTTTTTCGGTGGTTATATCATTTTTTAATTCCGAAAAATATAAACTAGTTTAAGTGGTTATTTTCTGCATTTATTTCTTGGTGTTGTCATTTGAACATGTCACTCGTAGGAGTTCTACAAAATATGGCAATGAAATGATTTTACGTTTGTGATAAAAACTAAAAATATGACACTCTTAATTACAATGTAGCACAATACACCAACTAATTTAAATGGCTGAAAAAACTAAAATGTGGTTGTGCAGATATTAACCAAGTAACATGTAAAATTTCTTACAGAGAATCTAATCAAAATTTTATTCATTTTTATACACAATGACATGATTTATGGCAATTTAATAAATTCAAGACTGAAGCTGAAATTCAAATATAAGCTGTCACAGAGTGATTCTATGTTTCACTAAGAGGGCAAATTAAGGCTCAAACTTAAAAGAACAACTGTTAAATGATTTCTTAGTTAACCAACAGCTAGATATACAACTTGTATAATTTCCAATAACATAATTTATCTTGCAAAGCAACTAAATAGTGCATACATGTGTTAAATAAAATCTGAATCATAAATTACTAAATGCCATGGAGCGATTTGGTATTATTTTCTTTTAATTAATTTCAATGACTACACATGACAGACAATACAGGGACAAAAATTTTACATGATTTGTCATGTAGCAATTAAACTATTGTGACTATGTACAGGACTATTTTCTGGGGAAATTTTCTCAGCAAGCATCTCAAACTAAAATTACCAAAACAAAATATGAAGTATTAAGATTCCAAATTGGGCTTTAAAAACATCAACTGTATGTATTTGGTAAAATAATAAAACTTCTGTACCAGTTATCAACAGTGAGGTTTCCTGGCACCATCAAACGTTTGCTTTAATTTTCATTATGGGGTTAAAACCAAGCCCTTCTCATCAATTATCCAAAACATGATTTACATTTTCACTCGTTTTTCTTTACCGCTTTTCATAATGAACACAACATAGCCAATGTTTGATAAATACAAGGTTTTTTTTGTTATACAAGACTTATGGAATATTCCTGAATTTACCTCATTTTATTTTTTTTTCCATGACTACTCTTCTCTTTGCTGTTTTCTTAGCAAACTGGATAATTTTCAATTGTAAATAATAACTAACAGATAGTTCTATAATCATATTATTCCCATGGATTATCCTGTTCTTTTGCAGAACATCGTCTGCTGCCAAAGCCCACTTTCCAATTTCTGTTGATAGTTTCACACGATACGAGGATAAAATTCCAACCAGAACCAACAAATTCAATGACATACCCTTATCTCTAGGAAGATAATATTGTTTACCATGATTTTTCAACTGTTTGCCAGCTTGGATAGCAATAACACCAATGTCCCCACAGGTCTGAGCCAATCAGACAGCTGTATTTATCAAACCAATCAAGTGCCTGCATTTTCCAACCAATCAGATGATATATTTTTACTATGTGCAGATCATTGTAAAAAAAAAAAAAAAAAA